CTGGCAAGAGAAATGTTCAACTGATATTTTATTACCATTTGCAGTTTTATCTCTTGAAGCATGCTTCTGAAGGAAAAAGGCAGTACTCTGGTTACATCAAACGGCAAAATTTCTGTGTATCTGCTGAAAAGGCAAGCATAGAAGAGGATAAAAACCTGCTTGTACACGATATGAGACAGTTGGACGCTGATTCTCATGCAGTATTGGAGGCGAGTCCGAGAGAAGGCATCTTTCAGAATGCTTCTGGCGACCAACTCTCTGCAGATTTACATACTCCTGGAAAGTCAGCTAGTATCAAAGAAGCCTCATATTCAGTTGTTAAATCTATCTCTATACGTCGCAATAGACCTACCATGAAATGTTCCATTCCTTCTTCTGCAAATTGCAATTCTGGAAGTGAAACACATCAGTTCAGCTTGAAATCATCGGTTGAAAAAGATTATGCTGGTGGCTACAAGATTGCCAGTGAATTGGACAAATTTAATCTGAAAGAAACTTGTTTGCCTGTTGAAGATAAACCCGGTAGCTTGAGTGCCTCTGGAACCTTGCAAAGCAAATTGAGCTCTCCACTAATTACTTTTTATCGAAGATGCAAGCGGAAAAAAGATGTGGATGGGCTACATACGCAAAACACCTTGGGAGTTGCAGAGGATTGTTCATTGGAATTTACAGGGTCAAAGTCTGCAGGCTTTGCATCTGTTGGGGAAGCAACGCCTCCTGAAAGTGGTTCAAAACATATTTTAGTGAATACGAACCCATCGGAGGAGAATCTTAACAGGAGGGTTGCCTTTGATGCAAATCATGAAAAAGTACGTTATCACTTTTGAAGTAGCTGTTCTTTTTTCCCCCCCTCTCTCTTTACACAAGATGATGCTCACTTGCAAAATTTGGAGCCTCTACGGTGGTAATCTTGTGTGGAGTCAAGTAAGCAACTTGACAGGCTATTCTTGAAAATAGTTATTTTTTCTAGAAAGTGAAGACAGGTATTTTGCATTAACAAATGGAACCGAAAGTGATTTTGTATTTAGGTGATTGTGGTAATAGTATGCATTTCCTATTAAGATTTTATTCAGCCAGGAATTCAGTTCCACATTAGAGGAATCTAACGGAGAGTTTGGTTCTGAGTCATTATTCGATTTCTTAGATAGTGTAAATGATATGTTGGAAGCATGAATGTTTTAAATTAAGTCCTCTGGTAAAGATGGAAGGAACATGTGATTTCTATTCACACTTCACAACTTCTTATCGGCTCATATTTAGCAACATGACACCAAAATATCTGTAACATTTGTTTTAAAGATGTTCTGACAATGTGTTGCAGTCATACGGTCTGGGGTAGTCTTAATTTGCTGTAGCTGAACTTTCCTGTTATTGTGAATTTTGTTGCTTTCATTGATTCATCGTGGTAACTCTATGGGGAAAGGGAGAATAAAGAGGCTAGTAGTCGATTGATTCTGCTCAATGGTACATATGCTTTCTTGTTGAGTTCAATAAGTTTGCTGGTCTTCAACAGATGGCAAGCAGAGAAGTTGAAGAATCATATACCTCTAGATTATCTCCTGAAAATGCGAAGTAAGCTTCAAACTGTCGTAGAAATGTTTCTACTCTACCAAGTAGTCATGTGAATTCATCCTCTTGTATGTTATTTAGCAGCTTCGAGCAAGCAGATGACAAGCTGGAAAATACACAGGACAACCAGTCTACATTGGAAGTATTTCCTCAGAATTCTGTTGGGGTTGACTTCCTAGAAGGTCGTATAGGTTGTTCAGGAAACTTATCAAATGATTCGGCTGATGACCTTTCTTGCAAACCAGTGTCAAAATACTGTAAAAATACTGTAGCTCAGGAATCTCTAAGACTCAGTTGTCAAGATACTGTAGCTCATGAATCTTTAAGATTGTCCTATGATGACCTGAGCACCGTAAGAAAAACCAATGAGATTCCTCGTGGCCAACATGCTGCAGTATCACTGGACTTATCTGTACCTCTTCCTGGTGAGGATTTCTAAATCATGTTTGAGGTGGATTAGTTTTATTTAATTCTTTACCTGCTTCTGCTATGTCTATCGTTTCAGTTGGTGTTTGCTAAAACTCAACTTTAACATCATGTTATTATAGATTCTCATGGTACAGAGGAGTGTGGTACAGCATCTATCCATGAAGAACAGCCACTCTGTGGTTTGCTGAACTCACAAAGTGGAAGTCATACTATGCTTATTAAAGATGAGTCTCCAGGAAGCAAACGCTTGGAGTTGCTCTGTGAGAGAGTTGGGGAAAAACATCCACTTCACCAGGCACAGTTACCAGAAGATGGTTTCCTTTCTGAGGAAGCTGTTGGTCACAATTATAATAATGTAGCAAATTCTTCTCCAGTATTTGGACTGAAAAACAACTGCCTACAGGTTGGTGGGATTATTGAGTTTCAAGAACCAGTTATTAGATAAAACATCTATTACATGATTTTGTTGTCATACGTTAAAAATTGTTAGTCATTTCCTTTTCAATAGGCGAAATAGAGTTTGGTGCTTAAAAATAGGCAATCTGGTATCTTTTTTCAGCTATTTCCAGAGGATAGATCTGATGATATGTTCCAATCAAAGAAGACGCATAAATATGTTACAGCTTGTGCTGATTCTGAAGAAAGGACTGTTGGTCTGACGGAGAGCAGGAGCCAGACGAGACTTTCGGCAACAAAATCTTCACTCTTTCTTGGTTTATTTCTGCCCATGGAACTGATAAATGATGGTCATGATCAAAGTTCCACCTCATCTCAGCGGCCTAATATTGGCATTCAATCAAAAGAATTTGCTCAAGATACAGTGCCTGAATTTCCACATCAGACATCATCCTATAGAAGACACAAGATGGTGCTAGATAATATTGTCAGTAGAGCAAGAATGCCGAAGCGAAAGAGAGGCAGCTGTCTAGAATCGTATGATTCTCCAAGAATGTGGTCAGAGGAAGAGCTAGATTCTCTTTGGGTTGGCATCAGGAGGTATGGAAGAGGAAATTGGGATGTCATGTTAAGGGATCCGAGGCTGCACTTTTGTCCATGGAGGACTCCCAAGGAACTTGCTGAGCAGTGGGAAGAGGAGCAATCTAAGCTTTTCAATACCATGCCTACTGCCAGAGGGAGACATTCGAGAACACCCAATATTTTCCAAGACAGTGTGGATAGCTTTTGGCATTCCAAGACTGGAAAAGAAAATTTGGTGGATGATGTTCAACTTTCACTTGGAGATGTATATTCCCAGCCAAATGACAGAGTCCAGAAAAGACCACTCTTTAATTATTTCAATGTGCAAACTAATGCACCTTGGCAACTTCAAAAAGCTGCAACAAACACGAGGACCATGTATTCCTGCAGGGAAAACCGCAGGAGAGCTATGCTTCAAAACAATGCAATGCTGGATGTCGAATGTTCTTTTGGTGCCAATCAGTCAACTTGTATGGCTATCGGGGGAAATTTGCCTCACTGGCTCAGAGAAGTAGTCTCAATCCCTTTGAGATCTCCTCAGACGGTTCTGCCGTCAGATAACTCATCTGTAGGTTCTGTTGAAAGGCAGTGGGTAAAGAAACCTTTTCTTGATGCCACAGGAATTCATCATGAGCCAAGTTATCGAATAAGCAACAAGCGCACCGTTGCAGAAAGAGTCGAGCAACAAGCAGGAGCTGGAGCTCATAATGGCAACTTCCCATTTGTGTTAGAACATAATCAAGCTGAAGTGCAGAATCCTGGTATCAAACAGGACCTGATCATGATTGACAGTGATACCTCTTCAGAGGAGACTATTTCTGATGATCATAACGCCAAGGTTTAGCTGCAGATTTAGTTTTTAGTAGATTCATGATAAAAGTTAAGAAGATCGATGCTGGTCTGTACTCATCTGTAGGGTTGAGGAAGGATTCTGTAGTTTTCTTAAGCTAAAAATTCTTTGATTATTATTCAATGTAGTTCTAAGTAAATAAAATCTTTGGTAGAGCAGCCATTAACAAAAGAGCAGTGGTTCTCTTTTTTTTTTTTGGGGTAGGAAGCTAGAGCAATGGTTCTTTATGTCCCAGGAATGATATCGTTGCAGTTCCTTGATAAGCTTGTTTTTTGGAAATTTAGACAGCCCCATCGAGCGTTAGGTGGACTCCCTTTTTTTTTTTGGTCCTTCTCAATTTTAAGGGGGGAAGATTTTCACTTAAAAACCAGATTAGAAAAAGTCAGTCGGACCTCTGCATTACATCTTTCTTAGCTTAATTAGCAGCCAACAGGTGAGTACTGAATAGACAATAATTCACTAGGCTAGTAGTTAAGGGTCTTTGTTTATTATCTTAGGTCGTGTTTGATAATTCAACAGCGTTTAAACTTAATAAATTCATATCTTAACATGTTTGATGCATTTGATAATCAAAAATTAAATATATGAATTAATTAAGTAGTACTGAATTTTTTAGGCAAAACTTGCTCGAAAAAATTATTGATAAACTATTCATTTATCACTAAATATGATATACACTCAAATATATTCTATTTAATATTTAACAATTCAATAATTTCATGGATTCAGAATTTAGATTTTAGATTTCAAATTTCAATTTTATCAAACCCACCTTTATTAGTTTAATTATCACCCTTCCTACCCCTTCGCATTTTGCCTTTTCTTTTTTTAAAGAAAAATGTAAAAGGTAAAATGACAAAAAAAATTATCACTTGATTAATGTCTCTATAAACTGCGTTGGATTTTTGGATTTTACAACAAAGGTTTAACAAAAAAAAAAAAAAGAAGAGAAAATGAGAGGAGAGCATACTTATAATCCTTTTTAGAGGTTTTTTTTTTCAAATACCCTTTTTAGATGGTTAAGTAAACTTCACTTAAATGCAGGTGTTTGAAAATTTTTTAGAGGGTCAATAATAGTGATTTGCAGAAATGCGAATTACTTCATCATACGTCGTCGTAGTGGCGCCCCATGGCTCAACCGCAAAATCATGGCTGGAGTTCGTTAGTTAGCAGTTAGCACTAAGTGATATCTCACTCTGATATTCACATTCAAGTTAGCCTTAGCAAAATCATCAACAAAAGAAGGAAAAAAATGAGCAGCTTATCATTATCAACGTCTCTTTGTCACTGTAACTATATAAATTGTCAAGATTTAAAGCCTCGCTTAATCTCTGCATCATTCTTGAGAAACCAGGGTTGGATTAGTTCGCATCAGCTTCCATCCAAAAGATTCAGCCTGCATTCAACCGGTAGTTCAAATGGGCCGTCGGATACAAAGATAGCACTCAAGGAGGAGGAGTCTTCTTCTTCTTCTTCTTCTTCCCAAGAAGAAGAGAGAGTAGTGCAAGAATTCAATGGAAAAGAAGTAGCCCAGTTGCCAGAAAAGGAAGGGGAAAGAAACAGTTCAAGCACTGGTGCTCCTCTACTCGATAAGGACCTTAAAAAGGTGAGTCTTTCTCAAAATGGTTTCTCTTGATTTGAATTATTACTGGCAATTCCCAGTTCATATATTTGTTTCTTTTCTTGGATGCATTAAGATTTAGTTTAGGTGTGAATCAAATGTTTTAGACAGGACTATTAAACCTGGGCTTCTGTAAATTGTAATAGCTGGATTAACAGGTTTCTCACTTTCTCATCTGGTCTGTGAGACAGATGAGCCCTTAAGTGGTTATCAGTAATGGGGCGATTTTGTTTAGGAGAAAAGTTATCCTAATTTCAATGTTTTTATCCACACTTCTTATACATAGCAGTCTATATTTATCTCTTCCTAAAAGTTGTAGACTAATCCTACAATTTCCAAAAGGAATTAACAACTCCTGCTAATTAGCTTGGAGGATTTCCATGAACTGTTGATAACAATCTTGCACAAGGAAATATTATACTTGGTTCTTTAGCACCTACCAGGCCTGTAGCGTTCAGATATCAGGAAGTCAATAGCTACTCTATGCTGGCATGATGAGAATGATGGTTGTGTTGTTTTAAATTTTGATGCATTCTGCTTGTTGTTATTCACTTGTGCGACTGTGTCAACTATTCTTTAGAGTCTGGAATGAAAATATGCACCTAATGTTTATATAGTCCCCTGAGCAATACTAGCCACTTGATTGTCTGGTGGCATAAAAGTTATTTCTGTTGAAGTTAATATTACTGCTTTTCAGCTTCAATAAGTTTTATATTTTCATCTACTCTTCTTTTCTGCATATCTTACTATAACTTTTAGGAAAGATAGAAATTTTATACGATGATCGACTTTTTTGGAAAGGTTGTCCAAAAGACTGCAGCAACTTTTGCACCTAGGGCTTCTGTTGCTACCAAAAATCCTGCTGTACCTGGAACCATTCTATATACTGTTTTTGAGGTGCAAGGTTATGTCTCAATGTTGCTAGGAGGAGCTCTGTCTTTTAATCTGATATTCCCCTCTAATGAGCCAGACATATGGAGACTAATGGGGATGTGGTCCATCTGGATGTTCAGTAAGCAATACTCATTCCAATAACAATAATTTTTTTAAAATAGAAATGTATTACACGATAGATTGTTTCTTTCTTTTTTGATGCTTAATGATAAAAGTTTCCTTATATGGTGCTTAGTTATCTAAATTGCATTGCTGGTCAGAGAGGGACATTCCAAAGACTTCAGTCATATGCAATGTTATGCTTCTTACTTCTTGTTCATTTCCATTTTTCCGGCTGACTGTGTAATAATCTTCAAGCAGCTTATCTATTGTATGGGAAAAGTATTTGGAAGATGTATTAATTTTAGGACTAGCCATATTATGGCAGAAGGTTACTAATTAATGGAGGTAACCATCAGTTTATATGTGTTTGTAAAGAAAAAGAGGAAAATAAAAGATGTACCATGCTTGTGATCAGACATGATAAGCTCCTAGATGGGAGATATTCCAGCTTTATAAGAGTGACCAGTTTTGGCTACTTCTGTTAAAGAGGTCAATTTCATGCTTTTGCAGCTATTCCTTCCCTCCGGGCACGAGACTGCTCAAAAAATGAGAAAGAAGCCCTCAATTATCTCTTTCTGCTAATCCCGCTCTTGAATGTTTTAATCCCATTCTTCTGGAAATCATTTGCAGTTGTTTGGTCTGCCGATACCATAGCCTTCTTTGGGATGTATGCATGGAAGGTACTTGTTTCTTAAACTTTGCCATCTCTAATAGGTTTCATTTTCTTCTTGTGTAAATATATAATTTGTGCAGATGGGGTTGCTTCAAAAAGCAGAGATGGAGTAACATGAAGTGGCTTCTTTGGTTTTGATTGGTTAGCTCGTTGCCTAGATGTATCTCAAGTATTACAGCTAATGGTTCAGACCAGTTCAGATATCATAAGCCTTAATGATAGCAAATGAAGGAACCACTTTATATTTTATAAAGTGTATCTACAAGTTTTGCATTATTTGGACAAAATGAAGTTGACTGCTACCTTAACTCCTTAAGAAGGCTACATTGTAAAACAAGTGTGGTTGGTGTACAGATATTTTAGTTGTGTATCATATGTCTTTATTTTTAGTTGAACATAATAACTTTCTGACTTTCTCTCAGGATGGTGACTGATACAAATGGTTCTAGAGATGTAAAGCGGCTATTTAATTTTCTAAATGAATTTTTTATTAACATCATTGCCATTGAATATTTAAGTAAATGAAGGACAAGTTTTCAGCTATAAGGTAGCCAGACATGGATCTGCAAGAATGCTTATCTTACCTAGATTGAGGAGGAATAAACCAATTTGAGATTTTTACCACTTTTTATGACATCTGTAAAAGGGAATGCTGGAGCAAATTACATAATAGCTTCATTGAACTTGATTGTGTGTGATGATTAGTTTGTTGAAAGAACCTAGGCATGAAAGATGGAAAGCAGTTGTGGAGGAGTAAAGTGGCCCAACATCTTGCTAACTTATTCTTCAATGCCTTTGGGAGAATGATTAGGGACTTAGTTTCTTAACAAGCTCCTTTAGTTGGAATGATCTCATTGTTCAGTATCCAAATCTTTTAAGGCTGTAAAGAGATGCAACATTTGCACTATGGAAAGTAATATGCCACCTTTTTTAGTACTTAGACCAGAAAGGAAGAAAGAAGTTTACATTAAGAATTATTTGACAACGCTGAAGCCACCGCTTGAATATCCAGGTGCAACTTGAAGATTACAGTGTAGACAATTAAACCAAAGAAATATATTGGAATAGACTTACAATTTAGAAGACAGACATTGTTGCATTTTTGTTGAGAGTAGATCAGAAGATGCTGGTCATTACTGCTAGCCTAATAGCTCAACGGTCAAGCATATAGTTTTTTGACATCAGCCTCTCTATCATCTTCCTTGATCAAAATGAATTCGATTTTTTCAGCTCTCCAGGAATTTTTAAGCTCTAAAGTAAAGGAAGCACTTTCACTTCATCCCACTGTGCCTTCACATTGTATATAGACTACTTCATCTCACTTAGCAGCTGACAGTTTGCATATACCTCCAGAAGGTTCGATACATGCTTTCATTTGATTTTCGATGGGTTCATCCAGTTTGAGATGGTGCAAAAAACTAATCCTCAGCTGCACAGCTGTGGGTAGGTCATCAAAGGAGCTGCAGGATTCTGACATTTGCACATAAAAGAAGTTCTTTTGATAGAAGAGTCTCAGCTAAATATTGTCAAAGCCCTACAAATCCTTGTCAACTTAGGAACCGAATGAAATATTAAGTTCTTGTGCTATTTGGAAATTCATTTTCCAAATAAAGTACAGATTCACAGCTTCCAGGACCCGCCCTCCTTTCTCATTCTTGGCCTTCCGCTATCAAATGTCAATTGTTCCTGTTTTAGAACCATCTTCAGATTTCTTTTCTGAGTTGAATGTTCTTAAATTTTTGGTCCTTCTTATGCACTGTAAAATTCGGTAACAGATGCCAAAATCTCTATTTGCAGATGTGTAGGATTCATCTAACCTGAGAACAATTGTATTTAAGCGCAAGTTTTATTGCGAATCTTCCCACCTTGAGAGTGTCAGTTCTTGGTTTGCAGATACTAGGGACTAGGGAGAGAAAACCTTCACATAAGATGACTAATCTAGCCATAACATATAAGAGACCGAAAATTTCTTTTCAATGGTTGTCATCTTGCAAATGAATAAAGATGGACCTCAGCTGTGATCTTGCACGCATGTTTAGACCCAAAAATCCAACGTCCGACACCAAATCAGGGGTCTCCCCGAACCTTTCTACTTCACCCGCCTTCATGTGCCAAAAGAAGGAAAGTAGCATGTCAAAGTTGTTATGGAGGCTGAATTCATCTGAGAGTTTCAGTTTTTGACTAAGCAATTTGACAGCAGGTTCCTAAAACTATAGCAAACACAAAATACTAAATAGTGGATAAAAAACTAAAACTCCTGCTTCGTGGATCATAGTTTTAACGGGACGAAAAAACCGATTATGGATTGCCCATCCCTAACATAGATATCCAAATTGACAAATGAGAAAAGTTCTGATTTAATCATATGGACAGCAACACAAGGAAGTGTGGAATTGTATAATCCAGATGGATGCGATGGTGGTCATGATTCTGTTTTTCCTACTAGGATCTGTTTTCATATTCATCCTCATCATCGCTATAGTGTAATGGACTAAAACTTTCATCCTCAGATTCCGAATGGCTGCTTTGTCTTGAATAAGAATTATTACTTTCAGTCTTGCATCCCATGCTGCTTTCTGTCCTCATTTTCGAATCAAGACTAGTATTATATAAATCGTTGTTGCTGTTAAATCCTGAATCTACATAATTACTCCCACTTCTGGAATTGAATCTTGAACTTGAACCAATACTCCATGAGAATGATTCTTCAAATCTGCCACGCTCTATACTGGATTCAGCACTGCCATCTTGAGATTCTTCAATGCTTGTCAGCGTCGAATTAACAGGAATACTTTCATTTGGGCCTGCGGCAGCGCTGCTACTCCTTGAGCTATGACGAGAACTTCCGCTGCTACTTGAACTGAAACTAGTACTTCCCTTACCATCCTTTACCTTTTTTTTCTTGTGTGATCTTGAACCTTGTCTTTCAGATTTTGTACCATCCGTCTTTTCCTTAATCTTCATCTTGTGCTTTGAACTCGAACTCTGTTTTGAAAATTTCTTACTCTTACTTGCAGAATTACCTCCACCCTCACTATCTGAACTACTTTTACTCCCACGGGACTCATTATCCGAAATGCTTTTGTTCTCGTCCTCACTTTCTTCATCGTCATGATCTGAGCTGTCACTGCTGCTGTGATGCTGATTTTTATGTTCATCTGGCTGTTTCACCTCAGACGGTGAGTTTGGAGCCGATAGTTTAGCAGGAACGGGCTCCTCTGGAGGAGCCACTGCAAGGAAACTGAGGACAGCTACAACATCACCAATCAATGGACGAACAGCTGGTTCATCTTGGAGACACATTGCTGCTATCCCAACTGCTTGGTTTAAGCTTCTCTCTGGAAACTTCATTTCGAGACGTGGATCTGCCATCTCTGGAAACCTCTTTGGATCCTTAAAAATTGGTTGTGCCTGTTAAATGACAAACATTATGCACAAATCAGATTGTTCTGGATTACGACTTTAAGTCCCAGTGAAGATGCTTGTGGAAACCAACAGGTAGAGATCATATTTTTCACAGTTTCTTCTTCCTTGATAGACAAATGAATTTAATCATAGAAGTAAGGTCAAGGATTATGTTTACCCAGCTAACTAAATTTTGCTCCTCTGCTGGCCTTGTAGTATCCAAAGCTCTACGTCCTGTGATTAATTCAAGGAGAACAACTCCAAAACTGTAAACATCTGACTTCGCTGTAAGTTCACCACATCTTTCGTATTCAGGAGCACAATAACCATAAGTTCCCATAACCCTCGGTGATATATGCGTCTTAGTATCTCCCTGTGCTAGCTTGGCAAGCCCATAGTCCGAGAGTTTTGGATTATAGTCTCCATCTAATAGAACATTTGACAATTTCAAATCACGATATATGATAGGTGGGTTGGCCTTCTCATTTAAATATTCAAGTCCTTGAGCAGCTCCGAGAGCTATTTTCATTCTGGTTTGCCAATCTAGTGGCTTTTTATCATCCGTCAAGTCTGCAAGAAAGTGATATCCAGTGATGTATCAAAGTACGCAACCAAATAGCTACAATTCAGAGATGATTCTTAATGCATATGTCAAAGCTTAAAATGGTAGCCTACTGTTACCGGGTGTTGGGAAGAAATCAAAGGCATCTGTGAGGTTGATGGAAGAAAGTACTTGGATACACTAGGATCTACAGGCTGTCGTTAGATCAGCTGATTAAGCTACATCATGATTTCATTAGGATAGGTTAAGTGGCCCAATTGCCGGCAGATTAAATTTACCTGAGTATCTTCCTTTTTACACGATGAATGTTGGGGTCAACCATCTGCCTGAACTATTTCAGACATGTAAACTTAACGACGTGATCATGTTAAAAGAGAAGCAAACTAGGAGACAAAGATGTGAATTGACATACCATGTAAATGGGATTCTAGTGAGCCAGTCGGTAGATATTCATACACCAAAAGTCTCTGCTCCCCATCAGCACAATATCCAATCAGACTAACAAGATTTGGATGCTTAAGGAGAGTCAGCATCAAAACTTCAACAAGAAACTCTTTATTCCCTTGTGTTCCATTCCTGTCCAGTCTCTTCACCGCCACAACCTATTAAAGAATCACGGAGAAATCAAAATTGCAAAAAATGAAGTAACGAAAAATTTCAAGAGCAATCCCTTGCTATTTCTTTTCTGTTTTTCCTTGCTCACATGCTTCTGATAAGGGATAACTCAAATTCCTGTCGAAGATTTACGATGGTGATGAAAGTTTTGGTCGACATTACCTCTCCACTTTGAAGGGTTGCCTTGTATACTTTTCCAAATCCACCTTCACCTAGTAGACATTCTTGCCGGAAATTCTTCGTTGCCATGGCAAGCTCACGAAATGTAAATGTCCGTGCCCCGCTATTCGCAGTTTCTGGTGTAACAGGGTCATCATTGGCATTCTTGGCTTCCACAGGTAAATTTTGTGTATTATTAACTGAAACAGAGGGAAAAAAGTAATCAGAGAAATCGCAGATATTTTGCCAGATTCATTTCCTGTACTGCATTTCTTAAACCCATCTAGCTCTCACAGTTTTCGACATAATTTTGCTTTGCGATCTTGGGAAAATTTATGGATAAAATGGCTCTGGAAAACTAAAAAAAAAAAAAAACGAGGCACCCCTGGAATTATTGAAAACCTGTAGGGAGGCCAGGTCAATGTTAACGTACTAATGACAACTGAAAGGAGAAATTGCAGTCTGCCCTCACTGCTGAAAACTGCCCAAACATTTGATTTTGTATTTTCTGCCTCGCCTACTAGAGTAGCTTGAAAGTAAATTATAAAGTCCTCAGAGGTTCAGTCTCATTCCTAATCCAGATAAGGACACCTTGACCCTCTTAAACTTAGTTTATTACCTCAGGGAAAATGACAATTCTAAAACTTTATGCATGCATGCAAATCAGAGTGATTATATTGAAGAAGAAAATTTTACACAAACTTGCAAATGCAAGAGAAAAGAGCCCACCAGGGGAAGGAGGCGGAGGTGCTTCTTTGACCTGAGCGACGGGCACCCCCTCATTCTCTTGGTTGTCTGATTTCCTACTTGAAAAACATGGGAGGCAATTCATTCTTGATGCTCTCCGAAAACAATTCTAATAAAAAAATAAAAATCCAAAAAAGGAAAAAATAGAGAGAAAGGTTCATCAACAGCCTCCGAAATTCCAAAAACAGTTACATAATCAATCTCGAAGGCTTTTTACGAACCATTCACACAAAAAAAATTGTTTTTTTTGGGATTATCGGGTTTTTCCGCTGATTCAAAGGATGAACAAGAAACTTAGAAAATAATGTACATATGATCAGGAAAGGTCGGAGGAGTCGACAGGGCAGGCGGGGCACAAAGAAGGAAGAGGAAGAAAAATGAGGAGGAGGAGGAGGAGGGTCCTCCAGGATGTTGAAGGACCCTGACCAGGAGAGGAGGTGTTGTAAGAAGGCGGAATATGAGAAAAAAATCATATGGAAATTGGGGAGACAAACTCCATGTTGTTGGAGAAGGCATTGCGTGGAGAGTTTTCGTTGGAGTTTCTCATCATATTATTCCGTAGAAAAAGGGGGAGATTTTAATGGCACATTTTTATGTATTGGCCTTTTTTCTCTTTCTCTTTTTATCTTCGAGAGTTTTGTGACTTTTGTGGCAATGGCTAAAAAACATCAATATTTCTGTTGAGCCTTTCAGCTTTGGGTCCTCCTAACAATGGTCAATCGGTGCCATGAAACTTCTCCTTCTAGTTCTGTATTAAGTGGGAGTGGGATCACTAGCTATTTTATTTGATGATCATGATGAAGTGGTCAGCTCCACCAGTTTCCGTCCACATTGTAGTTTGATCTTTCTTATTTTTGTCTATTTTCAGTGTCCACAATGTTACCATACTTTGTTGCAAGAAACTTTTTATATATCAAAAGAGGTAGTAATCAAGAAAAACTTTAGGGCAGCTAGCCAGTTTTGGCAAAAAAGTTGATCTAGTTTGTATTTCATTGGACTACTTAGGGGGTCCCTAAATTAATTCATTTGTCGAGTTTTAGTCTTTTGTCTATTTTAAGTCTCAAATTGGCTCATGAATAATAAAAAAAGGAAAAATCGTTAAAACGTATATCACATTTTGTAAAATGATTTTTTCCGTCTCTCATTTTTAAAAGTATACTTTTATGTCCTTCACAAATTCACATTGATCAAATTTGGTCCCTATTTACGTTACCGATTAGTTTTTGATCGGAATCCACCACGTGCCTTGCACGTGATCATTTTTGAAGGGCAAAATTATCAAATCAAAATTTACATAATCCAATCCATAGTTCCTCATATTTCACAAAACGAATTTTTTTTTGTCTCTTACATTTCACAAAATAAATTGTTTCGTCCCTCATATTTCACAAAATGAATTTTTTCATCCCTCATATTTTACAAAATAAATTTTTCATCCCTCATTAATCATGTGTACGAATAACTTTTTTTTTAAACCCATGTATATATTTATTTGATTTAATCTGAACAATATGAATAGCATATAATATATCTCTATTTGATTTCGTTTGAACGTACTGTTGAGGTGAAATTAAATATATATATATATATATATAGATACAAGAGTTTAAAAAAATTATTAGTTTTTCACTCATGTTGATTTCCTTTTACTTGAAAATTGAAAATAAAAAATATTTAATTCTTAACATTATCAAGTGTTTATATCGAATTAAATTTGGACAGAAAAAATAAACAAAGGAAAAGTATAACAAAAAGAAGTAAGTTATTGATACTTTCAAATTTAAGACAATCACAAGACAAAAAATTCAACTGTATGTATTAAAGGTGGCAAATAAAAATTTCAAATTTAAACCGTAATTTGTTAGCGTGATTATAGAATTCGAATTAGAATTGATTAATTAGATGGTATTATTACATAACTCAATAAATGAATTATTACCAAAAGAGAAAGACCACAAATATTGAATAGATTTACATGGTGAAATCAAATAAATATATATATATATGGGTTTAAAACAAAATTACTAGATTTAAACCCATGTATATATCTATTGAATAGCATGTATACAATTACAATTAGTCTGTTTAGATGAAATCAAATAAAGATATATTATATGCTATTTGTACTGTTCAAGTGAAATCAAATAGATATATACATGGATTTTAAAAAAAAAACTATTTATACACATGGTAAATGAGGGATGAAAAAATTCATTTTGTGAAAATATATAAGGGATTAAAAAATTTATTTTATGAAATGTGAGGGACGAAACAATTCATTTTGTAAAATGTAAGAGATTATAGATCAGATTATATAAATTTTAATTTGATAATTTTGTCCCTGAAGAATGATCACATGCGAGACATGTGATGAATTTCGCTAAAAAACTAGTCGAAAATCTAGATAGGGATTAAATTTGACCAATGTGAATTTGTAAAGAACGTAAAAATACATCTTTAAAAGTGAGGGAAAAAAGTTTTTTTTTATAAAATGTGAGGAACGTTTTGAAGGATTTTTCCTAAAATAAGTGTCAATTTTTTATTCTTCAACAGATAAAAAAAGATAAAACAGCGTCAATTTTTTATTCTTCATTAATCTATCTCCAACATTGATGCAGATGGATCTAATTCCAAAAATTAATGGATCAAATGACGGAAAAAGATAAGGGTTCAATTCACGATTTGGAACAGACAAGAGAGCCAAAACTTGACTATTAAAATAGTTTAGGAGCTCTTGAAGTTATTTATACTTTATATTTAACTCGTTTTATTCAAAAAGTAACAATTCGAATAATTGATCAAATTAAGTATAAGAATTGAAAACCATGCATATTTCTCAAATTGATGCTAGTCCGGAAAAAATATTGAAGAAAAATTTGTCATTACTGTTCACAAGTTTCATGCGGAATTGCGTAAAAAGAAAAAAAAAAGTTTCACGAGGAATGGTATATGGATAAAAAAAAAAAAATCAAAGCAATGAATAAGTGGTTTGCAAAAGACCAAGAACAGAGATGAATACAGATTGACCAGAATTAAACCAACCACTTCAGAAGTTTTCATCAGGTTTGTTCGAATTAATCTAATTTTTAATGGATTAACCTTTTAAGCCTTCAAGGAGGATTTTTTTTTTTTTTTAAGGGAAGATTTAGAATGTCGCTGCTACTTAAGCGGATAATATGAAGTTTTGAGATTTAGAGCTCCGATTTCAACCTCCCTTCCTTGCTTCTCGCATCATAAATCTCATCATTTCTCTTATTTTTCTTTTAAAAAAAAGGAACAAGTTATCCGGGTAACCACTAAACTTTTTGAATAGTTTAGTTTCGATGGCTCAACTATTAATAGTATGTTTGTACCCACTAAACTATAAAAATTGTATATTTTGAGTCATTTCATCTAATTTTATCATTAATTTTGTCATATCTAGCTATTAATATTATGTTTCATGAATCGTGCGAAACCTTATATCTGATAATGGTGAAATCAGATGAAATTGCCTCAAATTTATACTTTTTGATAGTTCAGTGAACAAAAACATACTACTATTAACAGGTGAATGACCAAATCTTGACTATTCATAAAGTTCAGTGGCCATTCAAGTAATTTGCTAAAAGAAAAGGGGATAGGATTTGGGATGGTCATGTCACTTCATCTGTATTCTATGAGTGGCACCTTAACAAATCCAAATTTCGGCCATTTTAAAGTTGGACCAAAGGCATGGACGACTATCACTGAACAGTGTGACATTTTCTAAACAAGAAGTAAGTTTATGTGAATTACTTGAAAAATTTAATAACAGAAATATAATTATTATATATGAAATCCACATGAACAGTAATAAAACATCGTCCCTTTATCGTAAGGATGTACAATAAATTCGCTTAGAATTACAAAATATTCTAAAAGTATTATATAGTATTAGGGAAAAGTGGATCTGAAAACCATCCTGCCCCAGCCCTTAACAGTAATGTCATAACACGCAAATGAGAATCCATCAAGGCACAAGGGCCGTACATTCGACTTGGAGCTAGATTCCGGGACGGATTTTACATTCTAGCTTCACAACCATCAGTTCTTGGTATTTCGAATTGCCTTTTTCTCTCAACCACTGAGCATTTTGGCTCAGTGGCCATCACCTCTTTGGTGGGATGGGAGGCAAGGTCACATTTCAGTGGCTTGTCTCCAAAAAAATTCAGGTGCGTGTGCTGTATATCCGTCTGATTCAATGGTGATTCAATCCCCTTCGATTTATTCCTAGGTCTCCTTAAACCCGCCCCCTTCCCCTTAATATAGGATAGATTAGGTTTATCGTCTTCGAAAAAAAAAAATTGCCTTTTTCTCTCTTTTTATTTCAAGCCCACAAGTTGTTCTTGGCATTTGAGCCCAAAATTACAAAACATTGAGCCCATTCGAGCTGTCTGTTAACCCTTGAGTTTCTGGGTAAATTTATTTGTTTTCCAGCTTCAAGCAATCAAAGCTGTTGTGGTAGTATTTGGATTTCTTGATCTCCAACTTTTTTTGCTCCCTTTTCTATGCTTATTATTTCTTTCAAAAAAAAATTTGCTTTTTTTCTTCTATGTTTATTCCAGAGCGTTTGATATCTAATTCTTTTTAAATCAGTGTGCTCACGTTTAGGATCAAACCATCTCTTGAAAAAAAAAAAAAATAATGCAATTGTTTCGCCTATAAAACAGTCCTCACATCTAAGATGAAATAGTTAAACATCAATGAGAAAGACCACAAACCATTACACCATTTAAGAATGATAAAGTTGAGTATAAATCTCACTAATTCTATCGCCAAGTCGACAAAATTAACATTCTTTGACGTGTTCCTTTGCACCCCCAGCAGGCTGCAGATTCAAGAAAATATGGGATAAGGCGTTCTCCTCTTGCATAATATGCCACGCCATTGCCACAAAAGTTTCATTGATTCAAACAAATAAATTGACAAGCACAGTAACAAGGAGCCTGTAAATTTCCTTTGATGACATGAGCGAATGGATGCACACTGCCTCGTAAGGGCAGAAGGCAGCCAGTTGGAAACGACAGCATCTATACAATCTTTTTTGCTTGAATCGACTTAGAT